TTTGGTTCTTGTTCTTTTGATTCGTGCATCACCGCTAATGCTTCAGGAATCGTATTGGAGTACCAAAAGCCGCCGCGGTCGAATCTGGGGTCAAGATCCGGCGGGTGCGTCCAGGACGTGAAGGAGACGGCACCATCGCTGTCAGCGGTCCTGCGGTCTGGAACGAAGTCCAAGACAAAGACTCTGTGCTTCTGGATGGCTTTGTTGATGAAGAGACCGCCCTTCTCGTGGTAGAGACAGAATTCTCGATCGAACCTGCCACACTCCAGGTGAATACCCTTCGACATTAGCTGGCTGACACTCAGTAGATTGTAGCAGAGGTTGTCAACGACGAGCATTCGTGACATCTATAGTATCACGTTTGTCTCACTAGATTGTAATTGAACGACCCCTTCTTTTCGTGTGCGCAAGTTCTGGTTGTTGGAGATGGTGATAAGGACTTCTCCGCCTAGAGTCTTCTCTCGCTGGACAAAACGCACCAAAGAACACATGTGTTTTGCACAGCAGCTATCAAGAAACCAAGTGTCGCGGCCGGACGGTTCGTCGTGAGCTATTGCAGCATAAGTCGGGTTCGGTTGGAGCCGGATCTGTGTCGGAGCGAGGGGTTGTTCGTCAAGATCACTATGAGGCAGGGAGTCGCGTACGCAAAAATCTGTTCGTGCCATGCAGCTGACGACGTTTCGTGCATCTTGTGCAGAGCGATTCGTCGGAGCTGGTGGGCGCTGCTGAGTTGAAGTGACTGGATTCGGTGACGGACGTAGCGCTCGAGGCTGATACTGCGGGAATTGCAACCGCTGCTGCTGCTACCTTGGGCAATTGAAGCACGAGTGTCCCATCGTGTGGCACCGATTATAGTAAGGAGTTGATTGTCGTTTGTGGTTTTGATTGTTGTAGTTGCGCCCGTGCATATAGAACACAAGTTATTGACTTGGTTTCTTTGTGTGGTGTTCTTCGTACAGGTCCATGTCATGTTGCTTAGCGTGGAGCTCCGCGCACAAGTGCATCTCGGAGATCCTCCTGTGAGCGAGTAGAAGGGAGCGTGTCGTACGCCATTGAGGACCGAGTCCAGCAAGGACGACCGTGGCGAATGAATCCTCCGATAAGTGCCCTCCGCTTCGTAGAAGCGTGTCGCGCAAGCCTCTGCAACGATTGATGTACGGCATCGCTTTTCTCCTAGTTGCATCTGGATCGTTGTGATTTGAGTCACGCTGTCGGTTGCTTGGTAGACGCTTTTCAAATGACACTATGCGAGTTCGGTCAAGTTGCAGAAGTTGCGATACGTGCAAATGCTTTGTTGCTCCATTGATATCAGGTTGCGCAAGAGGATGGTGAAGGCCATTAGCGACTGATAAGTGTAAATCTTCTTCTCTTGAGTAGTCCATCAGCAATTTGAATTCGAAGTTCTAGGTAAAGAAGTCCTTGCAGTTGAATGGTGAGGATGTCTGCAGTTTTAGAATGTTGTTGGACTGTTGTTGCAGGGTGACCATGTCTGACTGTTTATCATCTGTCTCCGAGTCCACTACTGGCGCGGGAGTCAACAGGAAGGTAAACGAGCCTGGCGAGGGCTGGTAAGGTTGATGCTGTGTAGGTTGTGCACCACTTGCGTACGATGCGCCATCAAGGCTCATTGGGACTGCTCCACTATTGTTATTGCTGTGTGCTGATTGAGCAGGCGCTGAAGACTGCTCGTAGGTCGACACGAAGGAAAAGAATTTCTCCATGAGGTTCGGGTCCATGCCCGAGGAGGCCACTGGTTGCGTGGAGACTCCTGCAGTTGCGACTGAGGTGCAGTGCAGAGTGTCAACAAATATATTTATATAGATTAGCTAGGTCATATTTGTTTATAGCATGGCTATTTTAGTTCGTTGCAAGTACAGCCCTAGTTTTGTATCCCTCGACATATTCCATTAGTCACCACTTTTTCTGCTACTCCGACATGTTATTGAGCTAGGTTTTTTTTTTTCCCGCCGTTCCTCATGCTTCCGCCGTTACTCACACTTCCGCCGTTACTGTAGCTTCTTTTTTTTTCGCGCATGTGACACGCTTTCCATTTCGCGCACCCCCCTGCCCTCTAATTTCACGCTTCGTAGCCTCGAGCACCCCCCCCCATAGCGTTCGATTTGTTCGTGCGGTAGTCAGCAGGCCAGCACGTCAGCCCCCACGCTAGCAAGCTCGCCAGCCAACGCTTTGGCTAGCTAGCCAACCAGCTAGCCAGCTCGCTAGCTAGCCCGTTATCCAGCTCACTAGCCAGCCCGCGCCCGCCAGCGCCTTAGTTCGTAGCCGCCCCACCTTGCGCCAGCCCACCTGCTCGCCTGCTTGCTAGCCCGCCAGCCTGCATGCTCACCAGCTCGCTAACTCGCCTGCTTGCTTGGTCGCCCGCTCGCCTACTCGCTTGCTCACCTGCCCGCCAGCCCGCCTGCTCTCTAGCCCACCTGCTTGCCTGCTCGCCAGCTCGCACGCTCGTCTGCTCGCCATCTCTCACGCTCGCCTGCTCGCCAGCCCGCCTGCTCGCCAGCCCGCCAGCCCACCTGCTCGACAGCTCGCACCCTCGCCTGCTCGTCAGCCCGCCTACTCGCCAGCCCACCAGCCCCCCTGCTCGTCAGCTCGCACGCTTGCCTGCTCGCTTGCTCGCCTGCCCACCAGCCTGCCTGCTCGCCAACCCACCTGCGCGCCTGCATGCCAGCAGCGCCAGCAGCCAGCGCTAGCAACCAGCAGCCAGCTCACTGGCTTACCAGCGCCACCAGCGCCAGCAGCCAGCGCCAGCTCGCCAGCGCCAGCAGCCAGCACTAGCAGCCAGCAGCCAGCAGCGCCAGCAGCCAGCAGTGCCAGCAGCCAGCGCCAACAGCCAGCAGCCAGCTTGCTGACTCACCAGCGCCACCAGAGCTAGCAACCAGCAGCCAGCGCCAGCCGCTAGCCGCCAGCAGCACACTGCCAGCAGCCAGCAGCCCACTGCCAGCAGCGAGCGCCGGCTGGTGCCACCCACTGCCACTACCGCAGCTACTGCCTACTGCCGCCCACAGTCATTGCAGCCGCCACTACCGCAACCACTGCTGCCACCACAGCAGCAGCTGCCACCGCTGCCGCTACAGCCGCCTCTGCCTCTGCAGCCACTGCTGCTACCCTTGTCACCGCTGCTACCAGCTGCCAGCGGCAGCCGGCCACCAGCCGCTAATCGCCAGTCGGCCGTCTGCCACGTGAGTCTCCCGTGCCCTATGGACTCTTCTTCGTCCTGTGCCACCAGTCCTAGTGCCTCCTAGCTAGTTCCTTGGCGTTCTGCTCCTAGTAGATCCTCTCGCGTGTACTTCCACCTCGTTTGCTCCCCACTCCTCCTAGCAGCTCCTAGCCTACCCCCAGCCGCCAACTAGCCGCTACTGCCCTCTTACTGTCACTGGCACCTGCTGCTACTCGCCTCGTGCTCGCTGCCACTGCTCCGGCCACAGTCGCCACTGCTACTACCTCCGATTGTTCTCCTCTAGAACCTATACCTCCCACTAGGCTCCTCCTCGTTTCTAGAGTTCCTTGACGCCTCTCCTCTCGGCATGATGGCTTCGTTCGGATCTGTCCCTCGGCCAGACCGCCGAGCACTTCCCACCGTCTCCGATTTCCGCACCTAGACTGCACGCTCCTAGAGAATCACATTAGTTACCTCCTAGGCTTCTGGCTCCACGACCTCGACATCTGCTTCCGGGCTCTCTAGCCAGTGCCACAGCCGCAGCAGCAGTAGCGGCGGCAGCAGCAGCAGCAACAGCGGCAGCAGCAGCGGCAGCAGCCGCAATGGGGTCTTGGGGGTGCTGAGCGAGGTGGAGGCTCTGGAGGTGCAGCCCCAGGGCGGTCACTGCCCTGGGGCCAGTGTGGTTTCTCTGGAGGACCGGGGTCCTTGGGGCCTAGGGGTCTAGGTCCCACCACTGTGTCTAGTCTAGGAGCCTCTACTATGTGTCCTCAAGGCTCCTCCCCTGCCCCCTGCGGCGGCCCTCCCTTTTGTCCTTGATTGGGGCGCGTCTCGTTGTTTCTTTAAGGACAGCACTGCTCTCACCCCGCATCCTGCGCCCGTCCGCGTCACACTAGCAGACTCCTCCGCCACAGCTGTCGCACGTAGCACCACCACTCTCCCCTGTCCAGCTGTCCCTTGCGACTCCCTCACCAGTCAGCACATCCCCTCGTTTGACAGGAACCTAGTGGGTGTCAGTCACCTTCAGGACCAAGGCATCACCACTACGTTCCCTGGCCGCGAGAGATACGCCGCTTTCCCCCCGCCCTTCTCTCCCTTTCCCCCTGCCCTCCTCTCCCTTTCCCCCTGCCCTCCACTCCCTTCCTCCCTGCCCTCCTCTCCCCTTCCCCCTCCCCTCCTCTCCCTTTCCCCCTGCCCTTCTCTCCCTTTCCCCTTGCCCTTCTCTCCCTTTCCCCCTGCCCTTCTCTCCCTTCCCCCCCGCCCTTCTCTCTCTTTCCCCCTGCACTCCTCTCCCTTTCCCTTTGCCCTCCTCTCCCTTTCCCCCTGCCCGTCTCTCTCTTTCCCCCTGCCTTTTCTCCCTTTCCCCCTGCCCTCCTCTCCCTTTCCCCCTGCCCTTCTTTCTCTTTCCCCCTGCCCTTCTCTCCCTTTCCCCCTGCCCTTCTCTCCCTTTCCCCCTTCCCTTCTCCCCCTTTCCCCCCGCCCTTCTCTCCCTTTCCCCTTGCCCTCCTCTCCCTTTCCCCCTGCCCTACTCTCCCTTTCCCCCTGCCCTTCTCTCCCTTTCCCTGTGCCCTCCTCACGCTTTCCCCCTAAACCCTTCTCTCCCTTTTCCCCTGCCCTTCTCTCCCTTTCCCCCTGCCCTTCTCTCCCTTTCCCCCTGCCCTTCTCTCCCTTTCCCCCTGCCCTTCTCTCCCTTTCCCCCTGCCCTCCTCTCCCCTTCCCCCTGCCTTCCTCTCCCTTTCCCCCTGCCCTCCTCTCCCTTTCCCCCTGCCCTTATCTCCCTTTCCCCCTGCCCTCCTCCACATTTCCCCGTGCCCTACTCTCCCTTTCCCCCTGCCCTTTTCTCCCTTTCCCCCTGCCCTCCTCTCCCTTTATGCCTGCCCTCCTCTCCCTTTCCCCCTGCCCTTCTCTTCCTTTCCCCCTGCCCTTCTCTCCCTTTCCCCCTGCCCTTCTCTCCCTTTCCCCCTGCCCTTCTCTCCCTTTCCCCCTGCCCTTCTCTCCCTTTCCCCCTGCCCTTCTCTCCCTTTCCCCCTGCCCTGCTCTCCCTTTCCCGCCAACCTTCTCTCCCTTTCCCCCTGCCCTTCTCTCCCCTTCCCCCTGCCCTCCTCCCCCTTTCCCCCTGCCCTCCTCTCCCTTTCCGCCTGCACTTCTCTCCCTTTCCCCCTGCCCTGCTCTCCCTTTCCCCCTGCCCTCCTCTCCCTTCCCCCCTGCCCTTTTCTCCCTTTCCCCCTGCCCTCCTCTCCCTTTCTCCCTGCCCCTTTCTCCCTTCCCCCCTGCCCTTCTCTCCCTTTCCCCCTGCCCTTCTCTCCTTTCCCCCTGCCCTGCTCTCCCTTTCCCCCTGCCCTTCTCTCCCTGTCCCCCTGCCCTCCTCTCCCCTTCCCCCTGCCCTCCTCTCCCTTTCCCCCTGCCCTCCTCTCCCTTTCCCCCTGCCCTCCTCTCCCTTTCCCCCTGCCCTTCTCTCCCTTTCCCCCTGCCCTCTTCTCCCTTTCCCCCTGCCCTTCTCTCCCTTTCCCCCTGCCCTGCTCTCCCTTTTCCCCTGCCCTTCTCTCCCTTTCCCCCTGCCTTTCTCTCCCTTTCCCCCTGCCCTCCTCTCCCTTTCCCCCTACCCTTCTCTCCCTTTCCCCCTGCCCTTCTCTCCCTTTCCCCCTGCCCTCCTATCCGTCTAAACCCCTCCACCTCTCCCTGTCCCCCTCGCCTCCAGCAGCGTTACCCCCCTCCTCCCCTCCTTTTCCCCCTAGTGTCCTCTCCCTTTCCCCATGTCCTCCTCTCGGTTAAACCCCCTCACCCCCGCACTTTGTGCCGTATCCACCCCTCCCTTTCCTCCTGGCCTCCTCTCGCGGGATGTGCTTACTGGCTGGCGGGTGGGGAGGTTGGAGCTCCCGCGCCATCTCAAGATTAGGTTTCTTCGACGGCGAGCAATGAGCCCACAGCGCGTGGCTCGAGGTGCGAGGCACGTGGTCTCACGATTCCGCGTCTTGCGCGAGGACCTTGTTTTCTTTGTGCCGTATGCCACCCTGGTCACAGGGCAGCTTAGCGCCGAGCTCGTCGGCGCGCGTGCCGCATGCGATGGCTAGCGCGACGAGGTTGGGCCACACATCCGATGTTTGTGGCTACGGCGTTTCCCGATGCAGCTGACGACTTTTATACCAGAGACGGTTGGCGTCGCAATTCGGTTCTCTTAATTTTAGGCCTCTAAGGACGGGTACGCACTATTGAATGGGTACGGCGTCACTAGTAGCTTATGATGCGGCGACTTTGTATCTGTTCCTTTTTTTTATTGTTGAAAGACTCGTAATCCTACAGTGACGGAAAAAATTGTCAGGATGTTCAGCATGTTTTTGCATTTTGATGAAATGTAGTCTGTAAACATTAAGCCTTAATCTATAGTGGGCATACACATTGAGAAGAGTAGTTAGAGCACTCACTCAAGTCTCCTAAAACCAGAGTAGTATAGTAAATGGTCCTTATACACTAAAGCATTTAATAAGAGCACATCCGGACAATTTGTACCGAAGACGGGTAGCAAACTAGAAACTAGCAAAACTAGTACCTAGTCCAGTATCCCTTTGCGCGCATCATCGCCTTGATCCTCCTTAGCATATTGTCAATGAGGTTTGAGCACACTTCCGCCGGAATCTTGTCCCATTCCTCCTGCACCCTCTCCCACACCTCCAACATTCCTGTGGGAGGCTTTTCGTACTTTGCTAGCTCCCTTTTCAAGTGGGCCCACATGTGTTCTATCGGGATAAGGTCCGGGGAGGACGAGGGCCATTCTAGCACCGCATACTCCTGCTCCCCAAGCCAGTCTTGCACCACGTGACTTGTGCTTGGGATCATTCTCATGCTGGAATATGACCTCTCAGTGGGGGAGCTTGTAAAACTCGATGGTTTGAGAGAGTTCGTCAGGCAAGATGCTGCGATACAGCGGCCCATCCATCCTTCCATCGATCTTGCACATGAGGCCCGCCCCCTCATACGTCATGCACCCCACACCATCACAGAGCCGCCCCCAGGCTTAACTGTCCGCTGGATCAGGTAGCTGCAGAGACTACTGCACTCACGAATCCAGGCGTACGCACGGCCGTCAGAGCAGAAACGATTAATCTTCACCTCATCGGACCATATCACGCGCTTCCAGTCTTCCATTGTCCAGTCGGCATGTGACCTCGCAAAATCCAGCCGATCTCTGATGTTTTTCGCAGAGAGCCTGGGCTTCTTCGGCTGCTGCACTATGACTAGCCCAGCGGATCGTAACGAGTTCCTAATGGTCCTCGAGTCTACATCCAGATCATGCTTCTCCTATAACATTTTCGCGGTGTCTACACTGGTTTTCGCCTCCCCGCTGGTAATCGCACGAACTATTCCGCGCTGAAGGTAAATTGTGATTAAGTGTGGGCGACCGGCCGTGGGCATCCTGGGTCACACCTCATCGCGACTAGTCTAGGCTAGTATAGGAGTTAGGCCAGCGAACCTTCGACAGCAGCGCGATGGTTCGCTGGCCTAACTCCTATACTAATGGCTGTTGCGTGAAACCGTGTGTACGCTAAGTGGCGAGCGAAATTAGATCTAGACTGTCGCTCGGTATGAACTGTCCGGATCGACTATCGATGAGGAAATCTCATCCCCGCTAATTGGATGAGTGACAATCGCGCCAACCTGTTTACGTTGGAAACACAACAGTACGACCTTGTAACAGGCCGAGAAAAAATTGGTGTTACTATATTCGTAACATGTCTGCCATGGCGATATGTTAGGAAGTGCCAAACATCCGGGCATTTTTTTCCGCCACTGTAGGTACCTCACATGGGTTCACAACAGGTCAGAACTGTTGAGTTGTTTTTGTTTTGGGGACATATGACAGGGGTTTCAGATTGGCGCGCATTCTTGCAGCCCTCTAACATGAGTCATCTGGATAGCTAGGTGCTCTAGTCATGTCGCCCATAGGGGTTTCAGATTGGCGTGCATTCTTGTAGCCCTCTGACATGAGACGTCTGGAACGCTTGGTGCTCTAGTCATGTCGCTCGGTGTTTTCGTTGTGTTGCCACACCTTTATGGGCAGTCAACTGCCCAGGGGGGAAAATGGATTCCATTCCGACGTTCGTGCGCTGGGCTCGTTTTGCCTATTGCACACCCCCTATCAAACTTGGCCCAACTACAGGGTGAAGCGCGCACCTGGAGAGCCGCCGAAGTTCAAGGCGCGTTACGTGACGAGAGGCTTCAGTCAGCGTGAGGGTGTGGACTTCTTCCAGACCTTCTCCCCTACCCCGAAGATGACTACACTTCGGGTCCTTCTTCACATAGTTGCGCAACATGACTACGAGCTTCACTTACTTGACCTCTCCACAGCGTTCCTGCAGGGTAGTCTACACGAGCAGATCTACCTCTGGCGCCCTCTTGGCTTCTTTGGGTCCTTCCCACCAGGACCAAGTGGAGCCTGTGCCGTCCTGTCTACGACCTTCGTCAGGCACCCCGTGAGTGGTACGACACGCTTCGCACCACTCTTGCTGAGCTGCAGTTCTTTTCGTCCTCTGCTAACCCCTCTCTCTTTATTCGCACGGCTCAGACACCGTTCTACATTGTAGTGTACGTACACGATCTTATCTTTGCTACTCCTGACAGAGTCGCACTGGCCTCAGTGAAGGCCGAGTTGCTTAGGAGACACACCTGTACAGACTTGGGGGAGCTGAGGCGCTATCTGGGCTTGGAGATCTCTCGTGAGCGTGCCGCTCGCACGATCACCCTCTCCTAGTCCCATATGGCGCAACAGATCCTCCAGAGGTTCAATCTCCAGTTCTCCTCAGCAAAGCCCACCCCTCTGCCTGTGGATCACAAGCCCTTTGCTCCTGTTCCGGTTGAGCCGGTCGAGGCTAGTGGTCCATACGCAGAGCTGGTGGGGTGCCTCATGTACTTGATGACTTGCACTCGACCTGATCTAGCGTAACCTCTCAGTCTATTGCCTCGCCTTGTTGCGACAGGCAGGCACCGACCAGTCCACTGGTCAGCTGCCAAGAGGGTACTGCGGTATTTGGCGAGTACATCAGGACTGGGGCTTGTGCTAGGAGGACGGGAGCCAGTGGTGCTCACTGGACACACAGACGCGTCATGGGTTGACGACCTGGAGATGCTCAGGTCATCTCAGGGCTACTGTTTTAGTCTTCGTGCTGGTGCAGTCTCGTGGAGGTCCACCAGGTCGTCGTCTATAGCTCAGTCCCGCTATGAGGCAGAGATTTACGCTGGGGCCATGGCCGCTCAGGAGCTCCGCTGGCTGACTTTCTTGCTCACGGACTTAGGTGAGCAGCCTAGGTCTGCCCCGGTCCTGTTTCATGACAACAGGGCCATGGTCCTCATGTGTCAAGAGGCTCGACTTAAGGGTAGGGCGAAGCACATCCAGCCGCGGTACTTCCAGCTGCGTAAGTTGCAGCAGCGCGGTCAGGCTCGAGTGATACAGTTGGCCTCAGAGGCCAACACCGTTGATATCTTCACCAAGGCACTTGCGCCTCGTGACCATCAGCGGTTTTGTACTCAGCTTGGTCTCGTCTCCATAGCAGCACCACTCCTCGTATCCTGAGTCATACTATACCTGCTTGTACTTGTTGTTCTATACCTGCTTGTCTTGCTACTGGCCGTGTGGCCTCTTATATTAGTGGTGAGACTAGTAGTGCTGCCCTGAGTTGCCTTGTTGCCTTCACCAGAGGTCAGACTAGTAGTGCTGCCTTGATGTACTCTGCCGTATTATGAAATGCCACTATGTAGGCTATGGCATGTGTCAACAAATATATTTATATAGATTAGCTATGTCATAGTTGTTTATAGCCTAGCTAGTTTAGTTCTTAGCGAGTACAGCCCTAGTTTTGTATCCCTCGATATTTTACCTTAGTCACCATTTTTCCCGCTACTCTAACACAGGGGGGGATCCTGTAAAGGATCCATCACCCTTAGATGGCGCCATGTCTTGTATCATTGATTGATGAAATTGAGATTGTTGCGAGTGGTTTTATAACCGAGTTAAAAACTCACTGAGAAAGGTTGTAACAGGAGCGTAGCTTCTGACTAGCTCTCAAACCATGTTGGGCTGAGAATATCCCTAGGATTTTTTCAGAAGGCTAAGTCCTTGTAACAGAGTGCTTGATAGCACAGCGGAAGTCTTGAGTTGAATCCTTGTACTGGTATGTGAGAAAAAGTGATTGATTATAGCAAAGGGACACAAGGTTTATATAATGATACAAGAGAATATGAAGTGTCTAACTGTTTATGGACTTCAAGGGGTACATTATCTTACGACTCGATAAGGCGGCTCGGGTAACCACCCTTACTGTAATACCGTATCGGGACGGTTATTTGTCTTTGCTGTCGCGCTGACTCTTGACTCCTGCAATTCTGACTGTTGGGTTGTATGGTCAACGGTTAGAATTGCAGGAGTACGTACGGCCGTCGGAGCAGAAACGATTAATCTTCGTCTCATCGGACCATATCACGCGCTTCCAGTCTTCCATTGTCCAGTCGGCATGTGACCTCGCAAAATCCAGCCGATCTCTGATGTTTTTCGCAAAGAGCCTGGGCTTCTTCGGCTGCTGCACTGCGACTAGCCCAGCGGATCGTAACGAGTTCCTAACGGTCCTCGAGTCTACAGCCAGATCATGCTTCTCCTCTAACATTTTCGCGGTGTCTACACTGGTTTTCGCCTCCCCGCTGGTAATCGCACGAACTATTCCGCGCTGAAGGCAAATTGTGATTAAGTGTGGGCGATCGGCCGTGGGCATCCTGGCCGTCTGCGACTGCCATTTCGTAACCTCTGCGGGGTGTCGTCAACCTGCGCCATCTATCAGTGGTACTGTAGCAGGGTTGACTCGGTGATCCTCGTTGTTGCAGTCTTCGCGTATTTGTACACCCACGTGAGACTCCTGAAATGGCCTTAGTTTCTTTATCATTTCCAATACATGAGAGGCATGGACGTGCCGCGCTTCACGTCACGCAGTTGGCAGCCCAGCAGCAGCCGGTACAGGCAGCTTGCCCAGCAGGCTCTAGTTTCTTGACGTTCTGCTATAAGGGGACAAGGGGTGGGAGGGAGGGACTTTCAAATGAGTTGAGTTGGTTGGTAGCAATGAATAATCGTCTAGGCTCTGTTTTTTATGCATGCGCTGCTAGAGTGTACCCTATACAAGTGTGTTTGTAACCAATCGGACCCTGTATTGGATCGGCGTACCCATTTGACGTGGTGGCTTGTGGCTGGATGGAAACTGGTTCACCCGTCGTCGCGACTTATCACTTCTCCCTTCCACACCTCTCGTTGCGTGCTGCCGTAGCGCCCATCGCGTTGCTCCAAGCCGCGCTGCTTCCCTAGAGTGCGCGCGGGGCCACGTCTACCCTTGCACTGTGTTGCCATTGCGCGCGCTAGCACGGACTGCGGCTGCCAGCAGCTGCTAGGGTAGCGCGATGGGTGGCGAGGGGAGCGATAGTGAGGGGAAGGAAATAGCGGGGAGAGGCATTATGCGGGCCCGCGGCAAGGAGGGCGGCGGCAGAGAGGAGTTGGCCGTGAACCCACGCAACCCTCGCGCGGGCGCGATCGGCGACGGCGCCGAGAGACTCGACCATGATGACGCGGAGGACGGTGACGACGATGACGTCAGCGGTGGCGCGGACAGCCCTCCGTTCCGCCCGCCGCCCCCCGCGGAGCTGCTGGCGGACGACGACGAGGACTCGCTGGTGGGCGTCAGAGCGGCCTTCCCCGCGTCGTTCGGCCGCCAGGAGCAGCGCGTCACGCCGCTCGAGGCCGTGCACGCGCGCACGGCGCGCGGACCGGCGGAGAGTGTTACGGGGGGTAAGGGGGGAGCGGGGGGAAAAGGGGGCGCTGGGGGGCCGAAGGGGAAGAAGAAGGCGGGCGGGATGACGTTCAGCATCGGGCCGAGCCTGGCGAAGAGGTTGGGCGATGGCGCGAAGGCAGAGCTGGCGGGAGCAGCGGAGGCAGGAATGGCGCAAGGAGGGGATGTGGCGGAGGGAGGGAGGGGGGGAGGCGGAGGAGGAGGAGGGGCGGAAGGCGGGAAGGGAGGAGCAGAGGCGGTGGGTGGTGGGTTGAGGGGCGCAGGGGGTGTTGCGAAGGGGTCAACGGGAGCCGGGGATAGGCCAGCAGGAGGAGGAGGAGGCGGGAGAGGGGCATTAGGTGCAGTGGGTGTGGAGCAAGAGGGGGGGATGGAGAGCCATGGCGCTGGGCATGCGGAGATCGGCCCCCCGCCCCCGCCACCCCACGCGCCTGTGGAGGACAGGGCACGCGCCCTGATCGGCCCGCCTGCCCCCCCTGCTCGCAGCAGGCAGCAGCAGGGCGCGCGGAAGAAGGGTCGGGGGGCAGGGCGGGCGGATGGGATGGGCGGTGGTGGGAGCAGCGATGATGAGAGCGATGAGGAGGAGGAGGAGGAGGAGGGGGGAGGGAAGGAGGCGGACGAGTTTGGGGTGCCGGTGAGCAACGAGATCGTGCTGGGCGGCCACACCAAGGTGAGCGGCGCGCTGCCCACGACGCCCAGCATGTGCGGTGGGCTGTAGGCTGTGCTGGCAGCAGCGTGCGACGTTGACCCGCCACTGCGCCAGTCGTTCCTGGCAGCGCTGGATTGCTCCCCGTGGCGCGTCGCACAGCGCAGCCTCCCAGTCACGACCAGCAAGGCCAAGGTCTCAAGCCAGCTGGGGCGGGGCCTCGTCTCCCTTTGCCTGTGCCTGCCTCGTCTCCCTTTGCCTGTGCCTGCCTCGTCTCCCTTTGCCTGTGCCTGCCGCAAGCCTTTGAAGGACACCACTGACCTCGCAACTGCACTTGCTGCTGCTGCCCCTCTCTCCCGCCCGCCCTCCCCGCCAGCCTGTGGCGGCCCTGCAGCACTGCACGGCAGACGGACTAGCGCCATGCCATGTGCGCGTGCCTGCTCGCTCATTCCACTCTCCCCCCCCCCTGTCAGGCCGTGGCCGCCGGGGCAGCGGATGCCGCAGCACGTGCGCTGAGATGAGGCACGCACTGCCGCGCCCCCGGTTCCCTCTCCCCTCGCTCCCTCCACCCAGTCAGTGGCGGCCCTGGCGGTGGCGCCCTGGCGGTGGCGCCCTGGCGGTGGCGCCCTGGCAGTGGCGCCCTGGCGGTGGCGCCCTGGCGCGCGCATCAGATGACGCGCGGCCCACAACGCATCCATTCCCCTCTCCCCCCCCCCAGGCGGTGGCGGCGCTGGCGGTGGACCCCACGGGCACGCGTGTGATCTCGGGCAGCTACGACTACTCGCTGCACTTCTACGACTTCCAGGTGGGTGGCGCCAAGCCAGCATGAGGGGCGCAGTGCGGGACGGTATGCGCACTCCAGTGGCTCAAGGGGTACCCCGGCGAGTGGAATGCCATCCACGCACGTGCAAGTGGTCCACTGGCACAAAACTGGCTGTCCAGCACAGATGCCCCAACCTCGTTCAAAGTTGACGCGTGTGAGCCGAAACCGCACTGCTAGCATCCACGCATGGCAAATGCGGTGGGTCTGGTAAGGGTGGGCTGGGTAGAGGCAGCATGGAAGGTCACTGTGACCTCCCATCCCATACACATCTTTGTTTACACCTGTGGCGATCGTGGCTTGTGAAATGTTGCTGCCACATTGTCACGCGTTAACTATTCCCCCCCCACTCTAATCCTACATGCGCGTATGCAAGAAATGCGTCGCAAGGCACTTGTTTTCGGCACTATCCGGTTCGCGTTCGTATTCAGTGAAGTGCAAGCATCCATACAAATCCTTTTAGAGCAACTATTCATGGATTGCTTGCTTATATACTACTGCTTCAAGTACTTGTACCTGCCTTCGTATCCGTGTTGACCCCCTTGCTTCCAGGGCATGGACTGGCGCCTCAAGTCGTTCCGGCAGGTGCTGCCGTTCGACGGGCACCAAGTGCGCGCCGTGTCCTTCAGCCCCACGGCCGACATGTTCATCGTCGCCACCGGCAACGCACAGGCCAAGGTGCGCCCCTCGCCGCCCGCCGCCTTCCCTCTCCTGCACTGCCAGTAGCACTGCACCCAGTTCATGGTACGGCCCAGGCGCAGTTGATGGTGTGGTGCAGTTCATGGTGTGGCGCAGTTCATGGTGTGGCGCAGTTCATGGTGTGGCGCAGTTCATGGTGTGGCGCAGTTCATGGTGTTGCGCAGTTCATGGTGTGGCGCAGTTCATGGTGTGGCGCAGTTCATGGTGTGGCGCAGTTCATGGTGTGGCGCAGTTCATGGTGTGGCGCAGTTCATGGTGTTGCGCAGTTCATGGTGTGGCGCAGTTCATGGTGTGGCGCAGTTCATGGTGTGGCGCAGTTCATGGTGTTGCGCAGTTCATGGTGTTGCACAGTTCATGGTGTTGCGCAGTTCATGGTGTTGCGCAGTTCATGGTGTTGCGCAGGAGCGGCACGGTCAGCGCAATGTGCGCTACTGCTGCCCTCCCTTCTCTTGCCAGTGCCCCAGTCCCCAGCACACGAGCCCCCTCACACGGGGTGCACGGCCCCCTCACACGGGGTGCACGGCCCCATTGGTCTCCCCGCTCACACGGGGTTCATGGCAGGATGAAGGGCGAGTGCCAATACTCCATCTCGTCCCGCCCTTCTTTTCATGCGCCCTCTCTGGCCCTCCCTTTCTCCCTCTTTCCCGTCCTTGTATTCTCCTTCACCATCCCATTGACTCCAGATATACGACCGCGACGGGCGCAGCAAGGGCGAGTTTGTGCGTGGGGACATGTACATCCGCGACCTGCGCAACACCAAGGGGCACATAGCGGGGCTCACGGCGGCGCAGTGGCACCCGTGCGAGCGGCACACGGCATTGACGGGCAGCGAGGATGGGTCGCTGCGCATCTGGGATGTGAGGGACTTCAAGACGCAGAAGAAGGTGCTGCGGGCCGCGTGGGATCGGTTTCGCGTGAGGTTGGGGCGTGTGAGGTTGGGGCGCGTGAGGCTGTTATGGCTTCGGCATTGGTCGCTGCTTAGTTGGGTGAAGAAGGCGGTAACTTGGCGTTAGCATGTCCCCCCCCCTTGCTACTTGCGCTCTTCTCAGGTGGTGAAGCCGAAGCTGGCCCGCCCAGGGCGGGTGCCGGTGACAGCAGCGGAGTGGGGTCCGGATGGCCGCATGGTGGCCGCTGGACTCAACGACGGCTCGCTGCAGGTAGGTACGGCTCATGGCGGGTGGGTGCAGGGATGGCCTTGTGATGCACGGCAGTGTTTGACGTGACGCGCATGGGCTGCACTGGTCTGGGACATGGCAAGGCGTGGGTTGCGTGTGTGTGCTGGTGCATGGCATGGGCTGGGTTCCCAGGCGGCGCCGTATGGCAGCAGGGCGTGCAGCAGGAGGGCAGAGGGGCAGAGTCGCAAGTGAGTTGACTGCACGCACGTGCAGCCTTATGTGGATGCACTTGACTCAGTCGCACGTGTGTCACGTGCAGCCATCACTCTCGTTCCTCGCGTCTCTCTTTACCCCCTGCCACCAACTCTCCTCCTTTCTGCATTCGCCCTTCACTCCGCCATGCGCCCCTTGCCCGCCCCTCATCCACTGCCCACTGCCCACTGCCCACTGCCCACTGCCCACTGCCCACTGCCCACTGCCCACTGCCCACTGCCCACTGCCCACTGCCCACTGCCCACTGCCCCACTGCCCACTGCCCACTGCCCACTGCCCACTGCCCCACTGCCCACTGCCCACTGCCCACTGCCCACTGCCCACTGCCCACTGCCCACTGCCCACTGCCCACTGCCCACTGCCCACTGCCCACTGCCCACTGCCCACTGCCCACTGCCCACTGCCCACTGCCCACTGCCCACTGCCCACTGCCCACTGCCCACTGCCCCACTGCCCACTGCCCACTGCCCACTGCCCACTGCCCACTGCCCACTGCCCACTGCCCACTGCCCACTGCCCACTGCCCACTGCCCACTGCCCACTGCCCACTGCCCACTGCCCACTGCCCACTGCCCACTGCCCACTGCCCACTGCCCACTGCCCACTGCCCACTGCCCACTGCCCACTGCCCACTGCCCACTGCCCACTGCCCACTGCCCACTGCCCACTGCCCACTGCCCACTGCCCACTGCCCTCTGCCCACTGCCCACTGCCCACTGCCCACTGCCCTCTGCCCACTGCCCACTGCCCACTGCCCACTGCCCACTGCCCACTGCCCACTGCCCACTGCCCACTGCCCTCTGCCCACTGCCCTCTGCCCACTGCCCTCTGCCCACTGCCCTCTGCCCACTGCCCACTGCCCACTGCCCACTGCCCACTGCCCACTGCCCACTGCCCCTCTGCCCACTGCCCTCTGCCCACTGCCCACTGCCCACTGCCCACTGCCCACTGCCCACTGCCCTCTGCCCACTGCCCACTGCCCACTGCCCACTGCCCACTGCCCACTGCCCTCTGCCCACTGCCCTCTGCCCACTGCCCACTGCCCACTGCCCACTGCCCTCTGCCCACTGCCCACTGCCCACTGCCCACTGCCCACTGCCCACTGCCCACTGCCCTCTGCCCACTGCCCTCTGCCCACTGCCCTCTGCCCACTGCCCACTGCCCACTGCCCACTGCCCACTGCCCACTGCCCACTGCCCTCTGCCCACTGCCCTCTGCCCTCTGCCCACTGCCCTCTGCCCACTGCCCTCTGCCCACTGCCCACTGCCCACTGCCCACTGCCCACTGCCCTCTGCCCACTGCCCTCTGCCCACTGCCCTCTTCCCACTGCCCACTGCCCACTGCCCACTGCCCACTGCCCACTGCCCTCTGCCCACTGCCCTCTGCCCTCTGCCCACTGCCCTCTGCTCACTGCCCTCTGCCCACTGCCCTCTGCCCACTGCCCTCTGCCCACTGCCCACTGCCCTCTGCCCACTGCCCTCTGCCCACTGCCCACTGCCCACTGCCCACTGCCCACTGCCCACTGCCCACTGCCCACTGCCCACTGCCCACTGCCCACTGCCCACTGCCCACTGCCCACTGCCCACTGCCCACTGCCCTCTGCCCACTGCCCTCTGCCCACTGGCCTCTGCCCACTGCCCACTGCCCACTGCCCACTGCCCACTGCCCACTGCCCACTGCCCTCTGCCCACTGCCCTCTGCCCTCTGCCCACTGCCCTCTGCCCACTGCCCTCTGCCCACTGCCCACTGCCCACTGCCCACTGCCCACTGCCCTCTGCCCACTGCCCTCTGCCCACTGCCCTCTTCCCACTGCCCACTGCCCACTGCCCACTGCCCACTGCCCACTGCCCACTGCCCTCTGCCCACTGCCCTCTGCCCTCTGCCCACTGCCCTCTGCTCACTGCCCTCTGCCCACTGCCCTCTGCCCACTGCCCTCTGCCCACTGCCCACTGCCCTCTGCCCACTGCCCTCTGCCCACTGCCCACTGCCCACTGCCCACTGCCCACTGCCCACTGCCCACTGCCCACTGCCCACTGCCCACTGCCCACTGCCCACTGCCCACTGCCCACTGCCCACTGCCCACTGCCCACTGCCCTCTGCCCACTGCCCACTGCCCACTGCCCACTGCCCACTGCCCACTGCCCTCTGCCCACTGCCCTCTGCCCACTGCCCACTGCCCACTGCCCACTGCCCTCTGCCCACTGCCCACTGCCCACTGCCCACTGCCCACTGCCCACTGCCCACTGCCCACTGCCCACTGCCCACTGCCCTCTGCCCACTGCCCTCTGCCCACTGCCCACTGCCCACTGCCCACTGCCCACTGCCCACTGCCCACTGCCCTCTGCCCACTGCCCTCTGCCCTCTGCCCACTGCCCTCTGCCCACTGCCCTCTGCCCACTGCCCACTGCCCACTGCCCACTGCCCACTGCCCACTGCCCTCTGCCCACTGCCCTCTGCCCACTGCCCACTGCCCACTGCCCTCTGCCCTCTGCCCACTGCCCTCTGCCCACTGCCCTCTGCCCACTGCCCTCTGCCCACTGCCCTCTGCCCACTGCCCACTGCCCTCTGCCCACTGCCCTCTGCCCACTGCCCTCTGCCCACTGCCCTCTGCCCACTGCCCTCTGCCCACTGCCCTCTGCCCACTGCCCACTGCCCTCTGCCCACTGCCCACTGCCCTCTGCCCACTGCCCTCTGCCCTCTGCCCTCTGCCCTCTGCCCTCTGCCCTCTGCCAGGTGTGGAGCGTGAAGGCGGGGTGGGGCTCGCTGCCCGACCTGCTGTGCTTGGACGCGCATGAGAGGGGTGACGACGTCACGGGGCTCGCCTTCTGCTCCGACGCCTCCACACTCGTGTCGCGCTCCATGGACAGCACCATGAAGGTGAGGCGACATGCATGCTCGCCCGCAAGGCAGCGTTGTGTGGCGCGTGAGCGGTCATTTGTGCTAGTGGCTCTCGCCCTCTCCCGCCCTGCCTCCCCCTCCAGTCTGTCTGAGCGCGTCTCGTCTCTCCTCTGCCGTCTCCCCACGTCCTCTCCTCTTCACACCCGCCTGCTCCTACCCCATCCACCCCCCTCCTCCTCTCCCCTCACTTGGCACTTCCCCCTCTCCGTTCGTTCTCTCCCCCCCCCCTCCCGCGCTGCGTTCCCCCCAGGTGTGGGACCTGCGCAAGTTCAAGCAGCCGGTGAAGGTGTACTCCCACCTGCCCAACCACTACCAGCAGACCAACGTGGCGTGGAGCCCCGACGAGCGCCTCTTCTTTACCGGCACCTCCGCTGAGAAGGGCGGGCGCGGCGGGCAGGTGAGGAAGGGGGGGAGCACGGGGAAGGAGGGTTAGGAGAGAAGAGGGGAGAGGGGAAGGCGAGGTGGAAGGAGAAGATGCACAGCTGAGGAAGGATGAGAGGAGGGGTAGGAGAGGTCAGTAAGAGTCCAGGGATGGTGGAAGTGGGGGAGCGGAGAGGCGAGGGGACATTCTTTGCATCTCTTCCCCTTCGTTGGCTTACATGCTCTGGTCTTTGTGCCCTTGTGTCGTTGTATTCTCTCCTCCCACCCCTACCCTGCTCATTCCGCCCTCCCATTCCCCTTTCTCCCCCCCCCCCCCCCCCCAGCTGCACTTCTACTCCAAGGAGTCGTTGGACCTCGTGCGAGTGACAGGCGTGTCAGCGGACCAGAGCGTTGTCAGGGTGCTGTGGCACGCCAGGCTCAACCAGGTGAGGCCATATGAGGCGGAGGGCATGGCAGTATGGGGCGCGGTGATCGGCGCTTCGTCTCAGTGCTTCTCCCGCCATCACCGCCCCCTCCTCCATCAAGTCTGTCATTTGTCCTCTACCACTGCCACCCAACCCACCCCCGCAACTGCACCCCTGTGAGAGTGAGTGTTCGAAAGGTTTCGTCCTCGTGGAGGTGTGGGTCCTCTCAAGAGCCCCCTCCCATCGTCACTACCTGCGCCAATCCGCTCGGGTCAGTTGCGAACATCTCAAGCGCCCTGCGCCTTCCCCCGTGACGTGTCTCTTCCCCCAGCTATTCGCCACGTGCGGCGACAAGAAGGCGGGCGGCACGCACATCCTGTACGACCCCACCCTCAGCGAGCGCGGCGCCCTCGTGTGCGTCGCCCGGGCGCCGCGCGCCCCTCGCCCTGAGGACCTGTGTGCGCGCGTGGCGGCGCCGGCCATCAGGAACCCGCACGCGCTGCCCATGTTCCGCGACGAGCCGAGCCGCAAGCGGCAGCGCGAGAAGGCGCGCAAGGACCCCGTGCAGAGCCAGCGCCCCGACCTGCCCATGGATGGGCCGGGCCACGGCGGGCGCGTGGGGCAGACCAAGGGCACGCTGCTCACACAGTACCTGCTAAGGGTGAGAGGCGCCGGGTGGGGCTCCTAGCTTGAGAGCATTTTTCTAGAGAAGTGGATGGTCAACTAGAGAGAATTTGGTGTTGCAGTTGTCTGCTTGACCTGCTCGTGTCGCTCACCCCATCCTCTCTTCCATCCCCTGCTCTCGCCCCGCTGCTCCCCCACGTGCGCGCTGCCCGCTGGCGGTCGCAGGAGGGCGGGCTGCTCAAGGAGACGTGGATGGAGGAGGACCCGCGCGAGGCCATCCTCAAGTATGCCGAGGCCGCGGAGAAGGACCCGCAGATCATCGCGCCGGCCTATGCCGCCACGCAGCCCAAGACGCTGTTCCACGAGTCGGACGACGAGGCGGACGACTAGTGACCATGTGGCATGCGCTGCTGCACACGCCACACCCTACCGACCACCGCCCTGACGCAGCAGCAACACAGCGCAGCCTACAATGGTGTTGCAGGCACGGGAGCAGGGCAGGGAGGAGGGCTCAGAAGCTCCTCCAAACGCCCACTCCTCTCTCCGTCCACCTTGCCGCGCTGTTGATCCACGGTAACAGCCGCAGCTTCTCAGCACATGTGAATGCTTGGATGGAAATAAAAGTTGCGCATCCCAGAATGGGCCTGATGGAGTCGCCGTGCCGCTGATTGATGGGTATGTCATGAACCAGCCACATGCCAGCACACTCCTTTGGTGTGAGCAGGGCATAAGCTCTGGATGTACAACACGAGTTTTCAGTGCTCTGCCCAGTTAACTCACACTGCACTCCTGTGGGTGCTTAGCTGCCTGGTCAGTTCAGAACCCTCTCTCTGCTGAAAGCTCTTTCTGCAACACAGGAGCCACAAAAGCCGCCTATGGAAAGGTTGGCAGCAACACAGGGAAAAACGTAAGGAGGAAATAGGCACGGACAAGGAGAGGTTCCAGGATCCTAATTCACACCCGCCCCACCTCCCACATCAACCATATGGCGCTCTTTGTCCCCCCCTAGTCATGCGGTCTTGGTGCAGGAGCACTGGCAGTCCATGGGGTTGCTGGCGCTGGCGCAGGTGCACTGACAGCTCATCTTCATGCTCCCCCCGGTCGGGGGAGGAAGGGGAGGGGAAGGCGTCGGCCCACCGCCGCCACTGCCGTCGCTGGGGAGGGCGTTCTGGAGGACGCACTTCTGCTGGGCACGGTCCCAGTTAAGCTGCACGAGGAAGCGACGGCCGTTGAGCCCCACGAGGTTGTAGCGGTAGGTCTGCCCGCTCTGCTGGGTGCCCGTCTTGGTGCTGCCATAGCTCCACGAGCACAGGTCCGCGTTCTCCTCGCCCTGCGCGTCGAACCACCCTGCATTCACGTCGGGGTCCGTGGCAGCCTCCGTGATCTCGTGCGCCAGCGTGGAGATGGTGGCGTCGATGGCGGGCTTGCCGTTCGGGGACGTGCTCTCCACGCCGCACGCGTCGGGGCACTGGCCGTGGTGGCCCACAAAGGCGTAGCGCAGGGGGGAGGAGTTGAGGGAGTCCTGCGTGTGCCACCCGCAGTACTGCGAGCAGAAGCCTGAGGAGAGCGTCACGTCCGCGCTGGTGAGCAGCACGTAGATGCCGTGGGCGTCCAGGGCGAAGGGCTTGCCCGCCCCCACCTTGCTCTTCACAACTGCACCAAAGAAGAGGGGGGAGGCAGGTGGGGGAGGCAGGTGGGGGGGGCAGGTGGGGGGAGCAGGTGGGGGGGGCAGGAGAGAGGGGTGAGCGTGCAGGCAGATGAGGATGCAGGCCATGTCGAGGACGAGGCCATGTGGAGCACGAGGAAAGACGACAGGTGCACACAGTGACAGTACACGAGCACAGTGACAGTACACGAGCACAGTGACAGTACACGAGCACAGTGACAGTACACGGTACACGGGCACAGTGGGCAGCGGCACGACGGCAGGGCGAGCGGCACGAGGGCAAGGCGAGCGGCACGTACTGGCGAGCACGTCATCGTCAGACAGCTGCTTGCCGCGTGAGTAGCTGTCAGCCACCGTCCCCGCCAGGCGGACCTGCATGGCAGCGCAGAGGGAGGCGGAAGAGACGGTGGCATGAGGAGCAGCAAGGGGACTAGAGGAAGGTGAAGGGCTGCCCTGGCCACCAGCGACCTATTCAACACGAGACTGCATGGCTTGTTTCTCTCCCCTCCGCCCGTCCCGGCGTGTCACCTTGGAGCTCACGTTCTTCCTGCCGCCGCCGCTGGACTGGAAGTAGCTCGCGCTGATGGCCCACCACCCCTTCACGCTCGCCTCCCCCTGCGCGCCCTGCGCGCCGGACTCGCTGCTGAGCGCCGTGACGAAGGAGTCGATGAGGTCCTTGCCGGAGTTGGCACCCCAGCTGCCGTAGTAGATGTGGTACACGTTCACCGTCGGCGCGCCCACCACCACCGGGTCCCCGTGGTACTTGATCGGCCCGCCGCTCGCCAGTATGGCAGCACCAGCAGCGGCGGTGGTGGCGCCGTCAGCGGACGAGGGGCGGACGAGGGGCGGACGAGGGGGAAGCCGACGGACGAGGCGAACGAGGCGCCGTCAGGGCCGCCGTGAACGACGGCGGCGGAAGGCCGATGCTGCTGCTGCTGCTGGCGGCGCCGCACGAGCTGCGCGTGCGCATGGCGCGTGAGGGACACGCGCTTGTTGGGATTGGTTGGTGCCGGCCACGCTGACTGGGCGGGTGGCAGCGCGGCGACGAGGAGCAGCAGCGCCACGCGCATTGCAGCGGAGCGAGCAAGGGCCGGCGCCATGGCGGCGAGGGAATGCGGCGGGCGGAGGGAAAGGAGCAAGTGAAAGGCGGGTGGAGGTCAGCGAGTCCCAGCGGATCGTTTGACGAGGTTGAGGTTGAGGCGAGTCCGAGCGCGTTCTTGCAGGAGGTGAGGTGCTCTCCCCAGTTGGACAGCGCCGTGCTTGCATAGAGCCGTGCTTGCATAGAGCCGTGCTTGCATAGAGCCGTGCTTGCATAGAGCCGTGCTTGGAAGGATGCGGCTGGACGCCTTATGTGCCCCGGCTCGCGGCACGACGGCCGCCGCTGCCTCTGGGCGCGTCGCGGCGTCGCATGAGCCCGTCGACGCGCGCAGCCGTCAGTGTGGTGACGGGCAGCTTCGCGGTGCTTGCACGCGTCGCGGCAGGCAGGATGGAGCGCGGTGCGGCAGAGCAGCGCTTATCACCCGACGCGGGTGAATGCGGCGCGGCTTCGCTCCCGCCTCGGCAGTCCGGCGTTGAATCCGCGAGAGCGTGCCTGGTGACGCTACGATACGACGTGGCCGGAGTGCGCGGCGCGCATTGGTCCTTGGCACCAGCTCGCCGTGCGCTGCACGGGCTGCGTCCCTCGTGGTGGCGGAATGCCCATAACTCGGCACGCGTTGCGTCGCCTTTCTCTTTCCTTGCCCGCAGTCCGGCAAGGAAAACGCAGGAATCCGCGGCAGGGCCTTGGCGACGGAGCGCCCCAGCGTCTCCTGGCAGGCGGCGAGTGGAGGTTGTGAAACGCGGGGAGGGGAATGCGGAGATGCAGAGGCGCAGAGCAGAGCCGCGCCCATGCAGGAGCGAAGTGAGGAGGAATCCGAGCAGAGGGGCAAGCTAGACAGGAGTGCTGTGGACGGGTGAAAGCGCGAATCGCAACCGCGCTGTTATCCGCGGAAAGGCCTCGGATTGGGCATGTCGAATCCTCGACATAGTACGCTGGGTCTCCCTGGGCTAGAAAGTACAACACAAAGAAAGCTCAGGGGCCATGCTGAGATGCTAAGGTGAGAGCCAAAAGTGGTCTCAACAATCCACACCTTAGCCAAGTCGCCTCATGCGGTGCGAAATTGTTACCCACAGCCCCCTCCCCTTCCAACCTCACAACAGTTGCGATGAATCGACACCTAATTCAACATAGTTGTCTTAAATCCTCAGGTTATTTTTATCTTTGTAGTACACAACACACCAAGGGGCTCAAATATACAGACTAGTGACACAGAGACAGAATGTCTTACACATAAAACGCCCTTCGTGTGCACTGTGCATCAGGATACCTCCCAACTACGGGGACCTGACCTGCTGAGGTGATGCCCCCGAGGCGACTATCCCGTGCCCCGGATGCCATGGCAAGGCGTGCGTCAATGACGGGACGAGTGACGAGGCCCATAGGGCCACGAAGAATGGTGCAGGCATCACAGGGGCAGCACTGCAAGGGCAAGGATCGTCCAGGAGCCCCACTGCAGATGCCTTGTCGCCTGCCTGCCTTGCTGGTTGATTGGAAAGCGCTTGTGAGCTGGCATGCTGCCCGTGACCGTGCTTGCTTGAGTGCCTGCGCGCCTGCCTGGCTTTGCTTCAGAAGCCATCGCTGAGCGACTTGAGTGCTGCACGGATGGCGGCCTCGAGCTGGCTGATCTGCGCGCCCACGAGGTGCGTGAGGCGTGCCCCGTGCTTCCACACCTTGAACGTCGGCACCGACTGCACGCCCTCGCGCGCCGCCACCTCCGGCAGCACGTCTATGTCCACCTGCCAGAGAAAGCAGGGCCGTGGGGTGGGCAGGTGGCAGGTTCACAGGCGCTTTGACACGTGGGTGCATGTCCAGACAGGATGTAGGTAATGGCTCGAGGGCCAAGGACGAGAGGCTTAGAATGCACTGCACAGCACCTCACATGGTGAGACCACAAACCAGCTTGATCGGCCAACTCGCCTCACCTTGAGGAACTTGACGGCCGGGTAGGACGTGCTGAGGCGCTCATACAGCGGTGCTGCCTGGCGGCACGGGCCGCACCACGCCGCAGAGAAGGCCACCACCACCAGGCCTGGGGGCGGGAGAGAGGGAGATGAGAGGAGGGGGCAGAGCAATCCTATGTCACCATGAACACGTTTAGGGTTTTAAATGCATCGTTTAAATGCTAGCGTTCAAACGCTAAACACTAGCGTTTAAACGCTAAACGCTCCTGCCTGGATTTCTAAACACACAACCAGGCAGCCAAAATATATCCCCCGGGCATGGGAAAAAAAACCAGGGGGAGGTAGGGCAAGGCAACGGGATTATGGAAGCAAACATTTTCATTCAAGATCTTTCCACAGGTAAGAGTTTAGGGATGTCAAAAGCACATGTCAACGAATGGTCAAACCCCATTCTCCCCACGACAACCATATGAAAAGGGTTGGATTCGTTTTTTAGTCGCAAGGTTCGGATTTGCGACTTGGCGAATGTCTGATTGAGTTCGCCAAACGTAATGTCGTGGGAAAAAAATTCGCGTTTTTTTCGCCGGGCTGCCTGGAAATTTTTGGTCGAGCGCCTTGAGTTTACATGTGCGTTTAGCGTTAAGCGTTTAAACGCTAAACGCTGCCTCGCCTGAGCGTTTATGGTAACATCGGAGCGTTTATGGTAACAACGGAGCGTTTATGGTAACATCGGAGCGTTTATGGTAACATCGGAGCAAGCACGCCTGGGAGGGCATGGAGAGCACGCCTGGGAGGGCATGGAGAGCACGCCTGGGAGGGCATGGAGAGCACGCCTGGGAGGGCATGGAGAGCACGCCTGGGAGGGCATGGAGAGCACGCCTGGGAGGGCATGGAGAGCACGCCTGGGAGGGCATGGAGAGCACGCCTGGGAGGGCATGGAGAGCACGCCTGGGAGGGCATGGAGAGCACGCCTGGGAGGGCATGGAGAGCACGCCTGGGAGGGCATGGAGAGCACGCCTGGGAGGGCATGGAGAGCACGCCTGGGAGGGCATGGAGAGCACGCCTGGGAGGGCATGGAGAGCACGCGCGTGGGAGGGCATGGAGAGCACGCGGCACGCAGCACCATCCACTTGGCAGCAATCTCCTTGGCATGGGCGAGGAAGAGGAGGGAAGGCAGAATAGGCACCTTCAACGCACGCCACGGCACGGGGCACAGAAGGGCGGCAGCACGAGGCACAGAAGGGCGGCAGCACGAGGAACAGAAGGGCGGCAGCACGAGGCACAGAGCGGCAACACGAGTCACAGAAGGGCGGCAGCACGAGTCACAGAAGGGCGGCAGCACGAGGCACAGAAGGGCGGCAGCACGAGGCACAGAAAGGCGGCAGCACGAGGAACGGAAGGGCGGCAGCACGAGTCACAGAAGGGCGGCAGCACGAGTCACAGAAGGGCGGCAGCACGAGGCACAGAAGGACAGCAGCACGAGGCACAGAAGGGCGGCAGCACGAGGCACAGAAGGGCGGCAGCATGAGGCACAGAGGGGCGGCAGCATGAGGCACAGAAGGGCAGCAGCACGAGTTACAGAAGGGCGGCAGCACGAGTCACAGAAGGGCGGCAGCACGAGCCTGGGAGAGGAAGGGGAGCGGCGACAGTCAATGTGGGCGAGCGAGGAAAGGCGAGGGAACAGAGAGCGTTGACGTGCGGGCAGGGAGGCATGAGGGAGCGAGGATGCACGCGACTAGGAGAGGGCGATGTAGGGTTGTTTCCACCCGCAACTCCACAGCTCGAACATGAACTCCAACACCCAAAGCCCCTTCCACTGCTCCACAGGGTTCCGCCCACCACTTGGCACTTGTGCGCGCACACACGGTGATCTACCCTTGCTGGAGACCGCCCCTCTGTACCGGGTACTTGTCTGCATGCATGCCACGACACCAGAACACAAGGCCGTAAATCCTGGACCTAATCTCCGTACCCTCCCACGTACCCATGCTGGTGACCGCTCCCCTGTACTGGCTATCTGTCTGCACCAACACCACACTGCCACTGCCGCTGCTGCTGCTGCTGCGCCCCGCTCCCCCTGCCGCACTGCCACCCCTCCTCCCATCCGCCCCACTGCCACCTAGCGTGCCAGCCTTCTGCAGTCTAGCTGCCACGTCAGCCAGGGCTTTGGCCACGTCAGCATCGTTGGGCATGAGCTTGTGCAGGTGTTGGTAGTCCCGGTGGGCCGCGTCCCACTGCTGCAGCTGGCCGGGGGGCAGGGGCACGGCGCAGGGGGCAGGGCGCAGGGGGCAGGCGCAGGGGGCAGGGCAGGGGGCAGGAGCAGCGTTGGAAGGCGAGGGGCACGGATGGGTGCAGGGTGTTACTTGGGGCCGCTCCCCGCTGGTCCAGGCAGTCCGTGTGGCCCACTCCCACTGCTGGAGCTCGCCTCTGGCAAACGACAGGGGGCAGGAGGGAGGAGGGGAGTGGAGGAGAGCAAGGTTGGAAGGGGATGCGCCAGGGGTGGTAGTCCCTATGGGCTCACACAGCAAGCTGCAGGAATGCAGGAGAGCAGGGCATCAGGAACGAGCAGGGAAAATGACTCCCTTCCTTCCCCCCCCTCCCACCCCCGCTCCCACGCTCACCTGCGCATGGCAGGTGGCTTCAAGTCCTCTCTCCACACCAGATCTCCCCTCCTTTCCCCCCTTCCTTTCCCCCCTTTCCCCCCTTTCCCCCCTTTCCCCCCTTTCCCCCCTTTCCCCCCTTTCCCCCCTTTCCCCCCTTTCCCCCCTTTCCCCCCTTTCCCCCCTTTCCCCCCTTTCCCCCCTTTCCCCAATTTCCCCCCTTTCCCCCATTTCCCCCCTTTTCCCCCTTTCCCCCCTTTCCCTCCGTTCCACCTCTCCCGCCTCTCCTCCCCCCCCTCTCCCCCCGCACCTGCGTGTGGCACGCAGCTCTCCGGAGCAGCGCCTTGCAGTACCCGGGGTTGGCGGCCAGCGCACCGTCGCAGTCCCGCAGCGCGTCGTGCCAGCGCCCCTGCTTCATGCGGCAGGCGGCGCGGTTGCACAGCAGCACGGGGTTGCCGGCGTCCGCCGCTATCCCCCGCGAGTACGCCTCCGCGGCCCCCGCTGCGTCGCCCGCCTTGAACAGCTCGTTGCCCCTCGTGCGCGCGGCGGCCAGCTGCTGCGCTCGCGACAGCAGGGCGAGCAGGTCGGGGTGCTCTGGGAAGGCCTTGAGGCCCTGCTGTGCCTTGGCCACCGCAGGGTCGAACCTGGCAGAGAGGCGCGCCAGGCAGCGCCAAGGGGAGGAAAGCATGGGGGCATGCTGTGAGTGGGGGTCGGCCAGCAGCACGGGCGAGCAGGGCGTGGCCTTGGGCAGTGTGGAGTAAAGTGTGGGAGGTGCTTTTGAGAATTCTCAAAAACACCCTGCAAAAGTGTGGGAGGTGCTTTTGAGAATTCTCAAAAACACCCTGCAAAAGTGTGGGAGGTGTGCTTTTGAGAATTCTCAAAAACACCCTGCAAAAGTGTGGGAGGTGCTTTTGAGAATTCTCAAAAACACCCTGCAAAAGTGTGGGTGGTGCTTTTGAGAATTCTCAAAAACACCCTGCAAAAGTGTGGGAGGAGCGGTGCGCGGAAGGAAAGCGATCCGTGCACATGTGCCGTGGCGCGGGCAGGGCAGGAGCGCGTGCAAGAGCGCTGGTGGGGTTCGCACAGCTGGGACGAATTCCCGGGCACGACAGTTGGAGGCGGACGAATTCCGGAGCACGATGGGAGGGAAGGGAGGCGAACGATGGGAGGGAAGGGAGGCGGAGCGGGGCACGAGGAGAAGGGAAAGAGGGTAATGTGATGCGAGCGCCGTCCACGGATGACTCAAAAGCCCCGCAGCACCGCATTAGCACGCGAATCCAGCGCTCGCCCCTCCCTCCACACAGGCCCTGACGGAAGAGAGTGCAGCAGCGGGCTGGTGGCTGGCGTGGAGGAGAGTGGGCGAGCAGACGTGGGAGGGGGGGGGTGGGGGTGTTGCCGGATAGCAGGGCGGGTGAGCAGGAGGTGGGTGCTGGGAGAGGAAGGACGCACGCCACACAGCGCAGCTCACACGCTCCCATATGCACGCCCTGCTTGCGTGCTTGTGCTCGCAACAGCCTGCAGGCGCCTCACCGGCCCAGCAGCACCTCACCTGCCTGGCAGCATGCCCAGCAGCACCTCACCGGCCCACCAGCATCTCACCGGCCCAGCAGCATCTCGAGGCGCACGTCCTCCTCCACGATCTCGCCCTCCACCGCCCGCACTGCCTGCGCTTTCCCCGCGCCCACCTCGCCCGCCACTGACAGCCGCAGCGCTGTCAGCGCACCCCTCGCTGACGTCAGCGCGGCCTCTGCCTCTGAGAGGCGCGCGAGGTGCCTGCAGCTGCGCGCCCTCCACAGCCACACCTGGAGGGGGGGGGGAGGGGGGAGGTGGGGGAATGGGGACAGGAGGCGGGGAGGTAAGGAGGACGTATGCAGCGAGCACAGGACGCTGCAATCCTGGCCTTCCACCACCACACGTGGTGATTTGGTGTCTGGCTGTTGGTGGGCGGGGGGGGAGGGGTGGCCCAGGTGGGGGGGGGTGTACGTCGGGAGGTAGAAAGATAGAGAAATGAGCCTTGAGTCGCAGATCCCGCCTGAGAAGCCTGCAACGAGAACGATGCAGCAGCCAATCGGCACCATGCGCGCCATGCGCCATGCGCCATGCGCCAAGCGCCCACGGGCGCACCTGGGGCGCAAAGTCAGCTCCCCCCCTGAGCGCGTCGTCCGCCTCTACCAGCGCGCCCTGCCAGTCGCCCGCCTTCACGCCCTGCTCACACCGCCCCACGCTGCCCTCCACGCGCTCCACCCTTCCCCGCTCCTCCCCCGCCTCCCCCTCCGCCAGCCCCGCCAGCTGCGCGCGCGCATCCTCCAATCTCCCCAGCCGCACGTACAGACCGGACAAACGCTGCCGCCCGCGCGCGTAGGTGCCGTCCAGCCGCACGGCCTCCTGGCACTCCGCGACGGCGTCCGCCACCCGGTTGAGCGCAGAGAGGGCGGCGGCGCGGTTGGCGCGGTAGTGCGCGCGCGTGGGCGCGAGAGCCACGGCGCGGTCGTAGAGCTGAAGCGCGTCTGAGAAGCGGCCCGCCTTGTAGTACTCGTTGCCCGCGCTCTTCACCTCCTCGGCGTTGCTGCTCCTGACCACGCGCGCCATCGAGAGGGCAGACGCGGGGTGGCAGGGGGAGGAGTGAGGGGAGGACGATGGTCGCATGCTGGGATGGCACGGGCTGGCGGACCCGCTTCTGCTGCTGTAACTGTAACCGCCACCGTTACCGTTACCGTTGGCGTTAGCGTTACTGTTACAGCAGGCGCTGCTGACGCGGAATGTGGACAGCAGAGGCGGATTAACCGGTTCGGCGGAGGCGGAGGGGAAACGAGGCGGGGATGGCTTGTGCGACGACTCGAACGCGGGTTGCGCGGAGGCGGGGGTGTAGCGCGGAGGGGATGGGGGGAGCGGAGAGGCGCGAGGAGGGGAAGGGCGGGGAGGAGTGGAGGCGGTATGAGCGGGGCCTGAGCGACCTCCGCTTGAGGCCATGCGGGGGATTCGCCGCCGCCCACTGACGGACTGCAAGCCGTCAGCTGCACCCAGCCGTGGCACCCCACCCCTACGGCGATGGACGGTTGAGTGGAGCCCCGCGAGCGCGTGGACCTCCGGGTCCGCCTTGAGCTGCAGCTGCGGGCCCACTCGGGGTGCAGTGCGACGCCAACGCGCAGCACCCGCAGTGGTGGCAAAATGGGCGTGCACCGACAGGTTCTGGGACAGGCTGGGCGACGGGGCAGCAGAGCGACAGGCTGGGCGACAGGCTGGGCGACAGGCTGGGCGACAGGCAGCAGAGCGGCAGGCAGAACGACAGGCTGGGCGACAGGTTGGGCGACAGGCTGGGCGACAGGCAGCAGAGCGGCAGGCAGAACGACAGGCTGGGCGACAGGCAGAACAACAGGCTGGGCGACAGGCTGGGCGACAGGCTGGGCGACAGGCAGAACGACAGGCTGGGCGACAGGCTGGGCGACAGGCAGAACGACAGGCTGGGCGACAGGCTGGGCGACAGGCAGAACGACAGGCTGGGCGACAGGCAGAGTGATAGGAAGGCGGAGAGAACGAGAGCGGGATGGTGAAGAGGAAGGAAACTAGGGCTGCTGCTACACGCGATGCACGACGACAGCGATTAGCACAGCGCGATCGACGGACGGCATGGCACGGCGGCAAGGCGGAAAGCTGATCACTGATTAGCACCTGACACTGTCTGTCAGCCAGCAAGGTTGCCTGCTCCTGATGTTTCCGTACATCTTACACGATTGATGGATTGACACGAGAAAACAATTGATGAACTGTTGAACTAATCTCGCACTATCTGAGGGCGAGGGACGGGGTTATACACAAACGGGGTCACGATAAAAAAAACAAGAGACGACGCAACCGTCTTAGGGTTGCGGAGCTTTTTTGGGTTGCGTAGCAACCCTTTATAATCGGTCGGTGGACCGATTGTGGTGGACAGATATTGCATTACATATTATTCTATTCTAAATCTTATCAACATAATAACCCATATCATTTTTGGTATCTAAAATTTATCGAGATAATAACTCATATCATTTTGTTTGTTTGTTTGTTTTTTCTAAATCTTACCGAGATAATAACCCATATCATTTTTTAGGGTCTAATGCATCCTTTACTCTAAAGATTTGTATTATATTATATTATATTATATTATTACATTTATATTATTATTATATTATTATTACAAGAGTCTTTTTATTACAAGAGTCTTTTATATTTTTTATTATTAGTATTAGTATTATTTATTGCCACATACGTATTCCCGTTATTATTGTTGTTTGTAGTTTCAAGTTTATGTATTTGTCATGTTTGATCTCTTTGTCTTATTATTATTATTATTATTATTATTACCACTACTATTGTTCCTATTACTATTGTCATTTTTTTTTCTTCTATTCTTCTAATTTTCTATCCATTATTATTATTATACTACTATTGTTAGACTTAGCTAACCATTTTATCGTGCAAGACAAAAATCCATGCTATTTTATTTGATATGTCGGCGATACTCATACCGACATAAAAATATAAGAATAGCATAGAGATTTGGGACAACTATCTAAGCTACCTATGAATGATGAGAGTCTCAAATCATTCACCGTCGATAATTACGGCGGAGAATGATAGAGATACTACATTACAACAGCACAGAATACATTATGGCAAACAAATATTACGAAACAGTAGTGAATGCAACGTAGCAAACGCATCAATGCTTTTGTGTTGATATGCGCGTTATGGGAAGAATATCCCAAACTGGCAACGACAATCGCAATTTGTACTGTGCACTAGGCATACGCTGCGTCGTCTCACTGCACCCACAACAATATGCACTCTCTTAATAACGCATGCCATCGAGCACATTACATAGCAAAATATTACGGGTAGGAAAACGAATGCGTTAATGCTTTCGTGCTACAATAGAGACTTACATGCACGTTATGGGAAGCGAGTCCCCAGACCGGCAACGACAATCGCAAATTGTATACCGCACTAGGCATAGTCGGCATTGTTTCCATGGGGACAATACAATACAACTAGGTATGTGCACGACGTAACAATACAATACATGTAAAACATATGCACAAGATACGGCAAACATCATTGACAACAAAAAATACGGAACAGTAGTGAATACAACGTAGCAAACGCATCAATGCTTTTGTGTTGACATGCGCGTTATGGGAAGAATATCCCAAACTGGCAACGACAATCGCAATTTGTACTGTGCACTAGGCATACGCTGCGTCGTCTCACTGCACCCACAACAATATGCACTCTCTTAATAACGCATGCCATCGAGCACATTACATAGCAAAATATTACGGGTAGGAAAACGAATGCGTCAATGCTTTCGTGCTACAATAGAGACTGACATGCACGTTATGGGAAGCGAGTCCCCAGACCGGCAACGACAATCGCAAATTGTATACCGCACTAGGCATAGTCAGCATTGTTTCCACGGGTACAATACAATACAACTAGGTATTTGCATGACGTAACAATACAATACATGTAAAATATATGCACAAGACACGGCAAACATCATTGACAACAAAAAATACGGAACAGTAGTGAATGCAACGTAGCAAACGCATCAATGCTTTTGTGTTGACATGCGCGTTAGGGAAAGAATATCCCAAACTGGCAACGATAATCGCAATTTGTACTGTGCACTAGGCATACGCTGCGTCGTCTCACTGCACCCACAACAAGATGCACTCTCTTAATAACGCATGCCATTGAGCACATTACATAGTACAATATTACGGGTAGGAAAACGAACGCGTCAATGCTTTCGTGCTACAATAGAGACTGACATGCACGTTATGGGAAGCGAGTTCCCAGACCGGCAACGACAATCGCAGATTGTATATTGCACTAGGCATAGTTGGCATCGTTTCCACGGGGACAATACAATACAACCAGGTATGTGCATGACGTAACAATACAATACACCATAGAACATATGCACAAGAGACGGTAAACACAATTGACAACAAAAAATTCGGAACAGTAGTGAGTGCAACGAAGCAAATGCATCAATGCTTTATGTGCATGATGTGGCAATGCGGTACGTAGAAAACACAGGCATACCACGTGGTACACTGTTGACCGAATGATAGATCAACGTGATAGTACACTACAGGGATACATATGGAAAGAAATAGGTTAACACAAAAGTATGGTTATAAAAAAATGGAAAACATATGACCCATTATCTTAAGATGCTACCTTGCCCAAGTCTTAGACCCTGCACTCACCTTCCCCACCACCCCACCCATTCCATTCCTCCCCAATCATCCCCCTCCCCTTCCGTTTCCCCTGTCACGTTTCGCTGCTACTCATTGTATCAAATTCATTCAAGTTGTCCGAGTAAGTGGACGACCATCCACCTGAAAGGGATGGAAAATAGTAGAAAAAATGTGTATAATATAATAATATGAAGATTTCAGTGGACAAATTATATGTATCGATGACTTACTCTTAGAGACGACGGTGAACCTTCGCAGGAGTTGTCGGATGTACGGCATCAGTGTTGGTACCAATCCGCTTGTTATTGTCATTTGTTGATGGGATGTCCTAAGCATTATCCAGTATAGCAAGACAGGATGTCGATGGTAAAGTTTAGTTCAAACGAAAAACAATACACGGTATGTAAATATACAAAAGCGACATGGTGATTATACTCACAGTATGAAAGGGGCGATTGAGTGAAATTATCGACCTTGTGACCCCATCCCAGATGCCACATACTTTCACCTGTGAGCATAATATGGATAAGACAAGCCAAGAGAGAAGTCAAACGTGACTAAAAAATTTGTACAAAACACAAATGACGAATTTGTTGGTATGAATAACAACATGCTGTTGTGTTGTTATATTCCTTACTTGGATGAGCCATCTTCCAATAAGACCAGTCAGCATTTCGTGTTTCTGTTCGTTGTCTGCCATGCTGAACTCAATGGTACAAGCATTCGGAATAACTTGCTTGATCGCCTCCAATTCGATCTTTGCCAGTACGCCCTTGCGAATCCCGATTTTTTTGTCACGCACTGGAAAAAGAGCGCACGTATGTGTAGAGGTAAGATGTGTGTCGTATATTTAGCTGAAGAACGTGATAATTATGAGTATCATGTACAATAATTTATGCATTAACTACTAACCTTCCTGATTGTCGAATGTGACTCCAATCTCAGTGAAACACTTGGCATCCATCTCCTCGTGTCCCGCGCAGCACTTCCATCGTTCGCTGGTGTAAAAGTAGCGAGCATTGCGACCGCAAACACCCCCCCCTTCAACTGTGTCATCATGAATACAGCGTTGTCCTGCATTGACAACAAATCCGGTGATCGTGCCGCGTGTAATGGCCACATTTTCGTTCCGCCTTGCACGAGCGTGATCTTCCACGTCGGCAAGCCTGCAACGAAAATGTGCATGGTGTTCAGCTTCAATAAATGACCGCACAGTGCTAAGGATATCTGAGTAAGATTGAAAATAATAACTTACGAAGCAACTTCGCCCCAATCCTCACAAACAGGTGCAGTGTTGCTCAAGTTCGGCGCAATGCGAGCGATTGCATCATCGTCCGTGATTTCAAGGACTTGGGATCTGAAGGTCACAACAACGAGTAGAAATATATACATTACGTAAATGAAGATAAAATTGTAAAGCAAGTCAATAGTGAACACATATAAACAATGCAGGACGGAGAAAATATAAAGTATGAGATCATAAGGAGATTGGTTTAGTGACGAGACACTTGGCATTGTTAACGGACCTTGGTGACGTCAGAACTTGGCGGTTCGATATGTAGATTCCCGTAAGCCATACAAATACATGAACGAGCTGGTAGTGAATACCCTCCTCAAGCGCGTGCCTTTGCACAATCTGGTTCAGTGCAACGGCTGTTTTACCCAATGCAGTGAACCCGAATGAACCACTATGGTCCCGAATTTCGCAGATCGCTCGTTGCGTGGTGCTCGGGAAAAATGCACGCATGGTAAGCTCCACCTGGAACGATGCGGGCTATGGACATTGGAATAGTGAGTGCCATACAAATGTAAGAAGGGTTGGACACGATTTTACTACGTACATAGATACTGCTAAATCAATGCAATTGGTTGCGAAGTGACACATCAATGATGAAATCTATACTCGTAACAATAACACAAAACACATTGATGTATGCAGAAGCCAAAGCGGTCAGTGGGGTTGGAACGAATGTCATCTAGTGAATGGTATGATCCGGCTTGGTTGCGAAAAGGTACAATTACGGCAATAATGAATTCTCTACTCTTTACGATAAATAGCATACCTGTTTCTGTCCACCAGAAACCAAAGCAGACAGCGGGGTCGGAACAAATGTGTTCTGGTTAATCGCGTGAGCCGGGTCAGTCAATCGCGCTTGTGAGACGCGATGGACCCATACAAGTTGTCCCTCAGAGCCTCTCATGTTGTACCTGTTATATGTATTTGCCAACGCACCATATGCGGAAAATAGGGAAAACAACGCATGGAACGATTCGATTTAGCACATTTGTATGCGAACCTAATAACATGATACATTCGTTACGTTATTGCGGACAAGCACAGCGATGTTTTGATACGAAGTTCGCAGTATGATAACATATAAATGGCATGATAACGAGTATGAGAAGGATAATATATGTACACTTTAATATCCAATATGCAAGTATATTATTGGAAATGAGTATACTACGTAGACTTACAAACTTCACAAGAAC